TATAAGTAGGGGCATAGCGAGCAGATCGAGGGACGTGATCGTTCCCCTCTATTCAACATTGGTGAGGCCTCATCTGGAGTACTGTGTCCAGTTTTGGGCCCCACACTACAAGAAGGATGTGGATAAATTGGAGAGAGTCCAGCGAAGGGCAACAAAAATGATTAGGGGTCTAGAACACATGACTTATGAGGAGAGGCTGAGGGAGCTGGGATTGTTTAGCCTGCAGAAGAGAAGAATGAGGGGGGGATTTGATAGCTGCTTTCAACTACCTGAAAGGGGGTTCCAAAGAGGATGGCTCTAGACTGTTCTCAATGGTAGCAGATGACAGAACGAGGAGTAATGGTCTCAAGTTGCAGTGGGGGAGGTTTAGATTGGATATTAGGAAAAACTTTTTCACTAAGAGGGTGGTGAAACACTGGAATGCGTTACCTAGGGAGGTGGTAGAATCTCCTTCCTTAGAGGTTTTTAAGGTCAGGCTTGACAAAGCCCTGGCTGGGATGATTTAACTGGGAATTGGTCCTGCTTCGAGCAGGGGATTGGACTAGATGACCTTCTGGGGTCCCTTCCAACCCTGATATTCTATGATTCTACTCCTTTTCTTTTTGCGAATACAGACTAACACGGCTGTTACTCTGAAACCTGCACACCCTTGACTCCCATTAGCACTTCCACTGGCAGGATCAGGCCCCAGCACCTCAAGCCTGGCCTACACTGAGTATGTCCCTCAGATGCATACCTCCTCCAATATAGCACGCTGTGTGTTATAGCAAGGCATTGCCTTGGCTCTCTCCCTGGGGAAAGGCTTCCTCCCTCATTCAGCAGCAAGCTGTGTTTGCTGGAAGGCGGTGCCAGTTTGCATCTAGTTACCTGGTTTCATGGCAAACAAACTGAGTTCAAAGCACCGCTTCCTCCCCCTCCCCTTCTCCCTCCTGTGGAGCCCGGGAGACAGGAGGTCATGCTGTGGATCACTCTGTGCAACACACTCAGCTTGGCTGCTCTCCTGGAATCACCAAAGGACGCCCCCCCCCCCCCGGGACTGATATGGTTTGTGAATGTTCACTATGACTGAAAAGATGTGACAGGGACATGCCACCGACAGGTAGCTCCAGGCACTTTGCCACTACAAAGGAAAGCAACCATTTTAAAGAAAATCCAGGTTTGGAGGGGAGAAACGAGAACTTGGCTGTTGGCCCGTGCATGGAAGTGATGCCTGAAACCGTGGGCTCCTCTCTACAAGGCTGTCTGCTGTGGCAAAGGGAGGGACTCACTGCAGACTGGGGCACAGATCTGCTAGATCTCAGGGCATTTTAGGGGGATCACAGAGCAATCAGTGGCTGCCTGTTGTCTGTAGTTCCCTGCCCCCATTCCCTGGGAAAGGCTCTCCCCATGGCTTACAGGGCGGCAGAACCCCGCATCCCCATGACCCTGCAAAGGGCAGGACTGAAGGCTGAGGAGAAGACCCTCGACTTTGAGTTTGAGGTGGTGAATGTGCAGTTCAATGAAAAGGGCCGATATGCCCTGAGGCTGACAGTGGAAAACCCACTGCTGGAGGGGTCCGGAGCTGGGGTGTGCCTGCGGGTGAACGAGGGAGATGTACTCTATACCAGCTCGGGGACCACTGACGTCATTGAGCAAAGCAATCTCAGCGAGATCTATGCCTTTGAGAGGAGGAGGTTCCTCTTCACCTTGCCCAAAGGTAAGAGGCTGGCTGTGAGGGGCCAGGGAGGAGTGAGAGGCCCACCCCTGAGCCTTTTGCTGAATCCAGAGCTCACCAGCTCAGGATCGACATAGGGACTGATTCGTCACCGATACCTGGAATCCAAGGGCTTGAGTCCCGCTTGAGCTATGGCCCTTAGACTGGCATTAAAGGGTCATAGACCAGGCCTAAACCTAGGCATACCCCAATGCCAGCTCTGAAGCAGGCCATGGGCAGGCTGGTCATGGAGTGTGGATGGGCTGGGGCAGAAGGGGGCATCAGATGCAGGGGAGCACATGACTGGAGCAGGAGTGGGCATCAAACCCAGAGGAGCTCAGGGCTGAGGCAGGTGGGGGTGTCAGACCCAGGGGAGTGCGGGGCTGAGGCAAGAGGGGGCGTCAGACCCAGGGGAGCGTGCGGCTGGGGCAGGAAGGGATGGTGAGACCCAGGGAAGCACGAGGCTGGGATAGGAGGGGGCGTCAGACCCACGGGAACATGGGGCTTGGGCAGGAGGGGGCATCAGACCCAGGGGAGTGCGGGGCTTGGGCAGGAGTGGGGGGTCAGACACAGGGAAGGATGGGGCTAGGGCTGGGGCAGGCAGAGGCGTCAGACCCAGGGGACACAGGGCTGCGGCAGGAGGGGGTGACAGACCCAGGGGAGTGTGGGGCTGGGGCAGGATGGGGCGTCAGATGCAGTGGAGCCCAGGGCTGGGAAAAGTAGAAGCCACTTTCCTGAGATAATTCAGCCATTGAGCTCCAAACTTGGCCCCTGTAACATCTGCTTGTGGGGTTTTTGGGAGCCAGGATTCTGCAAGAATGACAAGAACCATGATGTGCGACTCCGGATTGAGGCCCTGCAGCTCTGCGGGCCCTCACTGAAGAGTAGCCTCCGGGCCGGGGAAGCCTTCTTCGCCATCTACCCCCGCACCAACCAGCCAAGGATGAACCTCTTCGCTGGGAAAGACGAGGACCTGTACCACTACAGCAACATCATGGCACTGCTGCGGGTGGGCGAGGATGAGCTGGCAATGCATTGTGGGAGGCTGGCCTACGCCGTGTCCTTCCATGAGCACCGACTGCCTGCGAGGAAGGAGACACCAGTGTCTTCCTACCAGTTTTCACCCTGGCTGTCTGCAAGGAAGGATGGGGAACAAGATGGGGTGTATACCCCAAGAGTGCCCTTCCCAGCACCCCTCCTGTCTATGGATGGTCCCCTTCACAGCTACCACCGCTCTACTCCAGAAGCATTGACATCATCTGCTTATCATTTGCCGCCGATCGAGTCCCGCACCCTCTCTGCTGAGGTAGGGAATGCAGGGTTGCCAAGGTGTGCAGGGTAAAGCCTGCTGTGCTGCAATAGACAGGAACCTTGGTGAGACAGGCAGGAGCTGGAGGGGTGACTCAGGGGGCCAGCCTTCAGGTGAAGTGCAAGATGCCAATCCTGCCACACTGAAATCATAGAATATCAGGGTTGGAAGGGACCTCAGGAGGTCATCTAGTCCAACCCCCTGCTCAAAGCAGGACCAAGCCCCATTTCCTCCCCCACCCCCTATCCCTAAATGGCTCCCTCAAGGATTGAACTCACAACTCTGGGTTTAGCAGGCTAATGCTCAAACCACTGAGCTATCCCTCCCCCCAGGGTTGTCAGGTGTCTGGTTTTCGACTTCAACGGCCAGTCAAAAAGGGACTGTGACAGCTCCACAGTCGGTGGCACAGAGGGACTAAGGCAGGGTTCCTGCCTGCCCTGGCTCTGTGCAGCTCCCAGAAGCAGCTGGGATGTCCCTGGAGCCCCTACACGCAGGGATGGCCATGGGGGCACTGCACGTTGCCCCCACCCTGAGCACTGGCTCCACAGCTCACATTGGCCAGGAACTGCAGCCAATGAGAGCTGTGGGGGCGGCGCCTGCGGGCGGAGGCCATGCACACAGCTCCCTGGCCCTCTGCCTAGGAGCCGGACATGCTGGCTGCTTCTGGGAGCCGCCTGAAGTAAGCGCTGCCTCGCCGGATCCTGCACCTCAACTCCCTGCCCCAGCCCTAAGCCCCCTCACAGACCCTGAACCCCTCATTTCTGGCCTCACCCCACCCCTGCCAGAGCCCATACCCCGACCTCCTGCCCAAGCTCTGAGCTCCCTCCCACACTCCAAACCCTCAGCTCCAGCACAGTGCCCACTCCCCCTCCCGCATCCCAATCCCCCACCCCAGCCCTGAGTCCCCTCCTGTACTCCGAACCCTTCCACCCCCTCCTGCACCCCAAATCCCTCATCCCTACCCCCACCCCAGAGCCCACACCCCCAGCCAGAGCCCTCATCCCTCAAGTACCCCGACCACCTGCCCCAGCCTGATGAAAGTGAGTGACGGTGGGGAGAGTAAGCGACGGAGGGAGAGGGATGGAGTGAGTGAGGGTGGGTCCTCAGGGCAGGGGCAGGGGCAGGGCAAGGGTGTTCCATTTTCCGCGATTAGAAATTAGGCAACCCTACGATGAAATCCCAGTAGGATCCACACAGCTTACAGCCCTTCGAAGCCTCCGGAATCTGGCACTAGTGGAACTATGACCATGTAGCTGTGGCATTGGTACAAACCCCAATGCAGTTGCAGCTACGCTGGTGTTTGCAGTCAAACCTATATCGACAGGGATGTCCCAGGGGGCTGGCCCTTTAAGAGGAGATGAGTAGGAAAATGATTGTGGTCAGACGACAGGAAGGCCATGTGACTAAGGCAAGGCCTAGGGATATGTGGAAGTGTGCTGGGTGAGAAGCTGGGGAGTTGTAGCTGGTTTGCAGTATGACCTAGTATTTTTTAAGCAATGTATGACCCAATGTAGTTCCCTTTTCAACCAGTTCCTTATCCACCTTTCAATTCTCATATTAATTCCCATCTTCTCTAATTTAACTAATAATTTCTCATGTGGAACTATATCAAATGCCTTACTGACATCCAGGCAGATTAGATCTACTGCATCTCCTTTGTCTAAAAAATCAGTTATCTTCTCAAAAGAGATATTAGTAACTTTGTTACTACCTCTTGAATCCAACAAGGCTACTTACTTTTTGCAATTCACCAAGCTTGGAACAGATCATTTGACTTTAGGAAACATCCTAACAGCCCTTTCTTATTTTAATCACCTGTTAATAACTCTGTTTATAAAAAAGTTCTGACTCCCTGCCTCAGGGGCCCAAGCTGAGAGATGTCTCCTGTCTCCTCTGCAGAACTCATTACATTGCACACTCAGGCTGCCTGCCTGAAGCCTGCAGTTTGGGGAGTGCAAATGCCCCTCCAAACTCCATCCATAGGTACAGAGTCTGGGCATGATCCAGAGCCTGGAGAAGGTGAGGCCTTCCCCTGGATCCCGAGGAGATGAGCTGCTGTGTGGACAGCTGCCTCCTCGTGTGGCTTTCCTGGCAGCATGGCTCCAGCCAGAACCATGCTCTTATTGGCAGGAAGTATTTGTAGCTGAGCAGCAGAGGCCTCAGATGGGTCCCAGAAGGAGGCAGAGTTGTATTGGCACTCGACCTGATCACTGCATGGCAATCCAGTGGGTCTGCATAAGACAGCACCATGGAGGATGGCCAGTTCCCTAGCTCTTTCAGCTCTCACTAAGCCCCATGGAGCCTGACCCTGCTTGGAGAGGTTTCTGGGGGTCCCAGGGAAAGGTGCCATAGAAGCAGTATTCTTTCCTGTGGAGCCCAGGGCAGAGAGGAACCCCTCCACCACATTGGCAGAGAGGGGTGGTCTGGTGCATTTTGGGTAAGAGCAGGTCTGCTTTGGGAGACCATGAGGCTACTGCGGACTGGAAGGGAGCAGACAGGCCAAGATGTGCTGAATTTCTGACAGCACCTCGGCCTGCATCATGGCTGGCTCCTTCTGAAATATGCTTGTTGTCTTCTCTTTAGCAGGTGCATGAGCTGCTTGGTGAGCCTGACCAAAGAGCCTTCCCAGAGCTAAGGAATGACTCTGCAGATAAAGTGTGCTCCTCCTCCTCTCCCTCTTCCTCACCAGCTGTGCCAAGGCGATTGCTGAGCAATGCCAGTTTCCACCTCTCTTCACCAGGACACAGCCCCGAGCTGGGATCCCAGGACCCCTTCGCTGGGGTGCAGGTAAGTGAAGGGGGTTGCCTCAGTGTCTCATCCATTGGATGCGAGGCTCTGGCAGCAGATGGTGTTCTTTGCTGGAGACTTGCTGGGGAAATGAGGCATCATGCCATTTCCTGGGCTGCTTTGGTTGTGGGTTCTAAGTTATCTAGACTGGAACTGGACCAGGTCTATTTAGACTATCCTATCCAGTCCATCCGTCAGGCTCTGAGTGAGGATGCCCCAGGTCATGTATAATCCGGTGCTTTTTGAAATGACCCATGGGATTTGGCTTCTGTCACCCCCCTTGGGAGATCGTTCCAGTCTCCTGGGCCTCACTGCAGGAAATGCTTACCCAGGCTACATGTATCTAACTTGAAGCCAGTGGAATTCCCCCAGAATGAATTTGATCAGTTTGACTCTTCATATCTTGTCCTAGCCCAGTCCCGCCAGTCCCCTGCCATTGCATTGCTTCCCTCCTGCCATATGGTGCTCCAGTGAGGTTGAGAGAGAGAAAAAATGGGGTCTTGGAAACACAAGATCTGAATCCAGTGTGGGAAGCAAGCCAAAGCATTCCAGCTGATTCATTTCTGCTGCCTGGTGATTCAATTATGAGGGGAGGCCAGGGGGAATTGCTCAGCCTCTTGCTAATCTCCCTATTCTTAGTGCTCTGTTCCTACACTCTGTCTATGCTACACTAGTGTGAGCGCTTCACAGACACTAGTGAATTTATCCTCCCAGCCCCTCTGGGAGGTAGAGGTGGCTGAAGCCTTTGATCCTGCCTTTGTATTGTTGGTAGCTGGAGTAGTATTAATATATGGAGCTGTGGCTGTTGACTGTGCAGATTCCAGGAAGGAGAGCTCCCAGGAGCCTGTGACATCACTCTGCAAAAACTGCAGTCACTGGGGTTTGTGATTCTGGTGCTTAGAGAGTGGCTGGACTGCACTGTACTGGAGAAGGGGGAGGGAGCATGTCCCTGACTGCATATGAATGAACATACTGGTCAGGCCACACCGAGCTCTTGCCGGTTCCATCTCTTGCTTTGGATCCGAGCTGAGAAGGAGGCCTCACCTTCTGGTCTCAAGGGGGTGTTGCATGGTGGTTGCAATCTAGATAATCACCAGGGATTGAACCGGGCACCTCTGGGGTAAAATCACAAGCCCCTATGTCTTGAGTTGAAGGATTAAAGCCCAGCTTCTCCTAGGTATTTAGATACCTAGTGCTTAAGGATCTGGGTCTAACCCCCCTCCTCTCCCCGCAGCTGGGAGCTGTAGCAGAGTCCTATCTTCTTTGGATCAGACTTGGGGGGCTCATGATGACACACCATGCACAGAGCGTTATAATTATCCAGTCCATGACATGCCCAGTGGACAGGCCCTGAGCACCCCCTCCCCTGAAGTACAGGAGAACTCACACCATTCCCACCCCATCTGGGATGTCCTACCTCCCCAGAGGGGACAAGATTTCACCTGATAGGACCAGCTTTGTTGTTGTCATGCTCAGGGGGGGCTTTTAATTATTTTTTTAAGAAACCACAGGTTTGGGAGATGTTTTCACCCTTTCCCATGATCATTGTGACCCCAGGTGCCAGAGAATGAAACTGACTAAAAGCAAAAGTGAAACCGATTAGTTTGTTTTCACTGCCCAGATGTAGAAGAAACCACCTGCAGGAAGTGGTGGATGAATGTTTTAAACATTGATTCAGTTTCTCCAATCTCAGGAGTTATAGTTGCAAACACAGGGAGACGCCTAATCAGTGTTGCCAACTCTGGCAATATTGAGTGGGTTGCTTAAAGCCTTAGCTTCTTGAGACCTGTGATTATGGGAGGATTTCAGTTGTTGTTTTCTTTAAAGTAAGCTTTTTAGCCCTCAGGGAGAGAAGCTGGAAAATGAGACTTCTAAAGTTTTGAACTAAAAGGCAAAAAACCAGGGTAAACGTATTATTTTTGTAACATCTCATGATTTTGGGGGCCTGACTTGTGACTTTGGAAGTGCTTTGGGGTGGCAATACCACATCTTTATTTTACTGCATCGTTATCACTTGTATTAAGACCCCAGTCAGGAATTGGGGCCCCAGTGTACTCGGTGTTATGCAAACATGTCATAAATTGGCAGCCCCAACTATCCTGTCCTCTGTGGGGTTTTTGTTTTGTTTGTTTGGGTTTTTTTAATGATAATAAACACTCAGGCAGAGTCTTTGGGCCTGATTCTCATTTACACATGGGCTCCCTTACACTGATCTGGTTGTGTAAAGGGGCCTTGTAGTGGGGTAAATATAATTTAGGTTCAGAGGGGTGCAAAGGGACTGTCATGAACATGTGAACCTTTGCCTTTCTTAATCCTTGTTGCATAGAGAACCAACAGTTCCTTTTCACTGGCACTAGCGAAGCCCTAGGCTTTATGGGCCAGCTCCTGTGAGGTGCTGAGCACCTTGTCCCATTGCAGACCAGGAAAGTGAAAGGTGCTGAGCATCTTGGAGGAAGCCTTCAGCATCTTGAAGCAAGAGCTCATCGGCATACAGCCAGCGCTGCTGAAAGTGGAGACATTTGTCAATGGCAACAAGAGAGGGAGCCTCTCCCCCCACCCCGCATAATAAGCAGAACATTCACTGGGTGGAGAGGATTATTGGTGAGCCTGGATTGAGTTTGCCCAGCAACTGTGTAGGTGCAAGCCCTTTGGAACAGGGGGCGAAGGAAATCAATAGTAATCAACGTGAGCTGGAGTGATTGCAAGGTAAAGTTACGGTAGCAGCCTCAGCATGAGCTGGGGGTGGCAGAGGAGGCATTAGCAAATGCAATTTATAACCTCAGCTCCCAGGTCCCCAGGGGGAGTGTGACAAGCTAACGCAGCAATAAATCGTGCTGCACTGATGTAACTCTGGAATGACTTTATTTAAAAATTGAAAACCAGGAAGGAGGCAAGTGTTAACTCTGCATTCTCCTGGTTAAGGGGGAGATTAATGCACCTGTGCACTCTGGTGACAGAAGATCCGATGGTGGCTGGATGTTTCTGTTGCTCTGTGTGGGGAGGAAAACACACTTATTTATATATTTGTCATCAAAATACATTACCTGGCACCTAGGGCTGGATCCTCAGCCCCTGCAGCTGGAGGGCTTCCCTCAAAGGTCTGGCTTAAGATTCCCCTGAAGCAGAGGATACTGTGAGGATGCGTGGGGAGTGCAAAGGCCTAGCTAGCTCAGTGGCATACACAGCTCACTCCCTTTTTATGCCAAGGGAGCTTGTTGGGGGTGGCGCAGGTGGGGGGAGAATATCACATGCAGAAGGAGGAGTACAGTCTAGAGTACACTGATCATAGAACAGTTCATATGGGACTATGGCGCAGCATAAAGACTAAAGGCTGCTCTAAGTTACACCTGGAACTATTTTGGTTCGTAGCGTCCCCTTGGGTCTGCTTAGAGTCACCTTTCCACTCCCACTCTTCAGCTTAGTCACAGTGCAGCTATGAAGTCTGTCCCTGCTGTACCGGGCAACATACAAAAGCCACACCAGTGGAAGATGTGTTACTGGTACATGCTGGACACTACAAAACTGACCAGCTCTGCAATGTACTATCATGTAGCTATAATAGTTAAGATTTCAAACAAGTCTAAGGCAACTTGGGAACCTCCTGGTTTTCCCTGTGAGAGGCAGGATGAATCATGATTATGTAAATGGCCAGAGACCTGGCTGCAAGTATTTGCTCTTCTACCATTGATTTCTTGTTTGACATGGACAAGTCAGTGCATCTCTCTGTGCTTTAGTTCCCCATCTGCGCATTGGAGATAATAGCACTTCCTGACCTTATGGGGTGGGGTGGGGTTGTGAGGTTAGATACTTTAGAGTGTGAGGTGCTCACATACTATGGTAATGTGGGCTATATAGGTACTTAAGATAGGTAGACTGTGCTGCATATCATAGCAATAACAGGGTTTAGAATTGAGTCATAGAATATCAGGGTTGGAAGGGACCCCTGAAGGTCATCTAGTCCAACCCCCTGCTCGAAGCAGGACCAATTCCCAGTTAAATCATCCCAGCCAGGGCTTTGTCAAGCCTGACCTTAAAAACCTCTAAGGAAGGAGATTCTACCACCTCCCTAGGTAACGCATTCCAGTGTTTCACCACCCTCTTAGTGAAAAAGTTTTTCCTAATATCCAATCTAAACCTACCCCACTGCAACTTGAGACCATTACTCCTCGTTCTGTCATCTGCTACCATTGAGAACAGTCTAGAGCCATCCTCTTTGGAACCCCCTTTCAGGTAGTTGAAAGCAGCTATCAAATCCCCCCTCATTCTTCTCTTCTGCAGGCTAAACAATCCCAGCTCCCTCAGCCTCTCCTCATAAGTCATGTGTTCTAGACCCCTAATCATTTTTGTTGCCTTTCGCTGGACTCTCTCCAATTTATCCACATCCTTCTTGTAGTGTGGGGCCAAAACTGGACACAGTACTCCAGATGAGGCCTCACCAATGTCGAATAGAGGGGAACGATCACGTCCCTCGATCTGCTCGCTATGCCCCTACTTATACATCCCAAAATGCCATTGGCCTTCTTGGCAACAAGGGCACACTGCTGACTCATATCCAGCTTCTCGTCCACTGTCACCCCTAGGTCCTTTTCCGCAGAACTGCTGCCTAGCCATTCGGCCCCTAGTCTGTAGCGGTTCATTGGATTCTTCCGTCCTAAGTGCAGGACCCTGCACTTATCCTTATTGAACCTCATCAGATTTCTTTTGGCCCAATCCTCCAATTTGATAAGGTCCTTCTGTATCCTATCCCTCCCCTCCAGCGTATCTACCACTCCTCCCAGTTTAGTATCATCCGCAAATTTGCTGAGAGTGCAATCCACACCATCCTCCAGATCATTTATGAAGATATTGAACAAAACCGGCCCCAGGACCGACCCTTGGGGCACTCCACTTGATACCGGCTGCCAACTAGACATGGAGCCATTGATCACTACCCATTGAGCCCGACAATCTAGCCAGCTTTCTACCCACCTTATAGTGCATTCATCCAGCCCATACTTCCT